CAGGCCCAACCAAGTCTGAACCTAGAACAGAACCAACTAGAATTTCGGCCAGTTCACCAGGCACCCAAACCCGGCAAGCTGGGGAAAGAACCAGATCCCTGGCTAGCAGACAAGCAGACCGGCTGGGATCCCAAACCAGCCAGTCGCTGAGGTAGGCCAACACCTTTAGACCTAACAAAGATGGGCCACCATGACCAGAGTCAAGCGCGAAAAAACAAGTGATATCAGATTCAGACCAAAAGTGGTAAGCCTGTTACTCCACCCTGAAACCTAACCAATCCCAGAATAGACTTCCAGCTTGTCTTGTGTGAGAGCATGTCTAGCCTAACAGCATGTCTAGCCCAACAGCATGTCTAGCCCAACAGCATGTCTAGCCCAACAGCATGTCTAGCCCAACAGCATGTCTAGCCCAACAGCATGTCTAGCCCAACGGCATGTTTAGTCTGACAGCCTCATATTTCCCATGCTCTATGGATTAAATTTCACTATGAGAATTTTTAATTTTAACCTATGATATGATGGGCAATTCTTACATCAGTCTATGAACTCTGTCCCTCCATCCTAAGTAAATTTGCACACCCCCCACTCCCGTGAATTCCTGTTGGTTGAATCAGGTGAGTAAATCCAGCCTGGAAAGTGTGCATTCAACCTGGGTTTCACCGAATAAAGATGTGTTGAATCACGATTCCAGGCATGTATCGGATTGAACCAATCTGCTGAAAGAGGCGGGTCCGCAGAAAATTCCCCGGGTTTGGACACCAAGCAAGCAACGCCAGAAACCAAGACTGAGCCGGCCACCAAGGGGCCAACAGGGCTATACTCTTCCCTGGTAAGTCTCCAAATGAGCCAGGACCCGAAGCAACAGCAAAACTGGCGGGAATATGTAATCTCACCTTGACCAGTCCTGCTGAAAGGTATCCCGATGGCCTGTCAGTCGGGGAAGGGTGCCACATATACCAGGAGATGCCTTGACCATGCCGACACGAAGAGGTCCACCTTTGGGCGCCAGTACATCCAGCAGAGCCAACTGAATGAGTAGGCGACGACCATCGGTGATGAGTGACCCGGGAAACAGCCGCAGCAACGATGCCGGAGAGAGACAAGGAAGCGGTCCGAGAGTCCAACACAAGACCCAGCCAAGTCCGAACCTGAGGGGGAACCAGATGGGACTTCCTCCAGTTCACAAAGAACCCAAACCCAATGAGCTGAGAAAGAACCAAATCCTTGGCGTGCAGACACGCGGACTGGCTGGGAGCCCATACCAGCCAGTCGTCGAGGTAGGCCAGAACCCAAACTCCTAGCAGATGCTAGCGGATCACCACAACCCGGGTAAAGCGTGTGAAAATGCGAGGTGCCAGATTCAAGCCAAATGAAACGCAACGAAAGCGGTAAGCCTGATGCCCCATGACAAAATCGAGCCAATCCCTGAACCCAGGATTAATCAGGACGTGCCAATATGCTTCCTGGAGGTCCAGACACATCATCCAAGCATCCGGCTTCAAAAGAAGCCGGACCTGGGACAGAGTATCAACATCAGAGGCCTGAAACTGTTCAACACGCTTCCACTACACATAGGGGGCATAACTGGCCGACCCCCTTACAGTGTTCAAGAAAGAACTGGATAAGCACCTCCAAAGCATACCTGATCAACCAGGCTGTGATTCATACGTCAGGCTGCGAGCAGCCGCATCCAACAGCCTGGTTGACCAGTCCAGCAACGAGGAGGCCTGGTTGACGACTGGGTCGCTTAGCGGGGACGCTAAGCCCTGGAAGCACCTGAAGGTAACCTCAGGGTAAGGCAAGGTGTGGTCATCAGAAAAGAAGGGTAAAAAACCCAGGAATCCAGATGGGACAAGTCCAGAATGAACCTCAGATCCGCACAGTCCCGTTTCGGAGCTGGAAACAGGCGGGAAACCCACCTGTGGGACGGGGTCGTTTCGACCATGCCCAAGCGCACTCACTCCAAGATGACCTGACAGAGCGCAGGAGAAGAGGCCTGCCCCACAAACCCCGAACCCCCTGACAGAGGAGGAGCCACCCACCATCACCACAGGCAGGAGGAAACGACCCAAAATGGCCACAAATCGTAGAACCAGACGTGAGCATAGAGAGCGATCATCACCTCATTGACCAATCAACAGGACGAACTGCAAAAGGGTCGACGCCCCTCATGAGTACCCAAGCGACGCGCAGAGTGATCACTGTGCCGACCAGACGCCGGCAGGTCCGAAGGAAGTGCAGGCTCCGAAGCTGGCACCACTGGCCCACCACGACTGGAGGAACCCCAAACCCTGGCACGACCCCTCCGGGACTGACCCCAATGGCCCCCCCCCCCCGCCCCGAGAACCAACAAGTTCAACACAGGGCGACAGCTAGTAGAAGCCGCTTTCAGATACTGCATAACCGCAGAATCTGCAAACAGCAATGGACAAAAGGGTAACGAAAATCTAAGAGCCAGGACCCATGCGGCTTCCAAAGAATGAGCGAGCACAACCTGCCGGCATGCGAGGCGGGAAGCAAAAACCAGACATTACTTCCTTCAGAATTAGGGCATACAACTTCAACAAGGCAACCGATGCCTGAATCACAGAGGCATGTGCACCAGACACCGGCCCGGTCCCGAGCACCTCCACATCCTCCTCAAGTCAGTCCTAAGACAGCTCAAGCAGGGAAAGAAAATGCAAAACTGAAGCCAAGTGCCTCCGGGCACAAAAATCCTCAGCTACCATAGACGCTGAAAGGACGGGAACCTGCACATGGAGCTGCACCTCACCAATATCCTTAGGAAGAACAGGAGTGAACAAGCACGCATTGAGGTGCTCCAACTCGCCCCCCCCCCAGGTAAACCTGAACCACAGTAGAACTTTCTTGCCACTAAAGCATGCGGGTCCGATGGAACGAATGCTACGCCCCCAACGAAAATAAAGGGCAGTCTGCTAACCAGGAAGACTCCGGTACCGCATAACGCACCCAATAAAGAAAAGCAGAACCGAGCTCAAACAAGGAAGGGGTCTCTTATTGAGGCAAAATCCAGGTCATGCAGGAGGTACGCCTCAAATGGCTTCCTGAACCTCCTTAGACAGGATACGGGAAGCCAAAAACCTACGAAAGGAAGGAAGGAAGGAACCGAAGAACCCAAGGGAACCTAAAACTGAACCCAGGGAGGAGCCAAACCCATATCAAATTTGTACAGGGAAGGGGGTACCTTTCCCCCTTCATCACCCCTCCCCCTGCAACAAGCCCCCGTACAAGGGTAACAACACCCAAGCTGGGTCAAACGGGGCTCAAGCACCCCAAATCGACTCCTCCCCAGCCCCGGAATCCTCAATGCCAGGATCCGGGGCAGAGCCATCATCCATATCCTCAGCCCCTAAAGAAAAATACCCTCAGCCCCGGCTTGCATACCTCCACACAGCAGAACAACAACACAAAGGTACAGCACTACTCAGAGACAGGAGCCAGAGTCGAACAACCGCCAGCCAACACATCAGCCTCAGAACTGAGGTTGGGTAGCCGGTGCGAAGGGTCTGGAGCTCCCCCCTTCCCCCCTCTCGAAAAGGGGGGAGCTGCGCAGACAGTGGTGCGGCGGCAACTGTAACATCATGCTTGTTTTCAGATTGTGAAGTTCTGCTTGGTAGTTCAGTTTTCGGTAGCAATATTAACTAGTTGGAGTCTGTTCTGGGACGTTTACCTTCCTGGGTGCCTGTCACGTAAATCCCCGACACAGCAGTGGAACTGCCTCTTCCACTCACATTCTATGTCATTACACTGGAAGTCCACCTCTATGACAGCCAAGATGAGTCATTTGACCTGCCACACACTCCACCACCCCGTACCACCCAGTGCCTGGTATGGCTCACCGGCAAGCAAAGTGCCTCCACAAACTAACAGTTAGCCACCTTTACCAAGCAGTTTGCAGCCTCTAACTATCAGTTATATAGCCTCAACCCAGCTGTGATGTAGCCACAAACTAGCAGTTACCGCCAGTTGCTTGTTACTGCTCACATTGACACCAGACGTGACGTCGTCACCAGCAGGGGTATAAATAGAGCCCTGCAACCCATGGAAGCTAATCTCTCTGGTGCTCTCGGGGTCATCATTGCTTCTTTCACCCGCCTCTTCTACCAGCCTACGTCGTGTGACGGATGCTGTGGTGGTATGGTGAGTGTCTTCAGCTCACCAGTATACTGTACTAGTATACTGAATTTAATTTAAGAGTTTGCAGGAACCATTTATTATTATTATAGTAAAGTTTATTATTTGTTCATCTGTTTCTTGTTTCATCCTGCCACTTCCTGCAAGGGTCAAAGCAGCATTTTTTTTTTTAAGTTTATGTGATTGAGAGCCACACACCACCCTGGCCCAGTATTGCATCATGCAATGCATCATGTCTACTGCATCGTGTCACAACACGGTAGATGGCAGACATAGAATGCTTTCAACCACACGGGGGTTTCTATAGGCCATTGCTCCTCGTGCCTCTCTGAGGGAGCCAGGTTCTGGCTCGGGGTTCCCGGTAGGCTAGAACTCCACTGACTGACTGTTGCCACAGTCTAATATATACATATCAGCCCAGTATAGCTCCGGGGAGCCGGAGGGGCTCGCCACAGAAAAATTAGGAGAACAATATATAAGCATAATGGGGTAATTCTTAAAACTAAATGAGACAAATTAATGTTTATAAATTGAAGAAGAAATTAGAAAAGGGCTGATTTTTTTTTATCATATTTATAAATTGTAAATTTTTCAACTGCAAACATAGAAATTTTAAATTGAAGTAAAGATTAACCAGATATAAAATGTTGTATTAAATTTAGACATGGAAGCTTTTAATAACACTATGTACAGGCTTAGTAAGTAATATTGGCAATAAGAACAAAACATATAGGATGAGAAGAGGTGAGTAAAGTTGGTTACATAATAACTAATGATATTACTAATACTACAACTAATTATTGTACTAAAACATATATTTGAAAGATAATATAAGTGATATTGACCAGCGGGTGGTTGACAGTGAGCGGTACAAGAGTTGAGACGAGCGTGTTAGTATACGGGGCAGCATGATGTATAGACTGCTTCAGGACGCTGGCCAACGTACACAGGGTGCTCTCGGTTAACACCGCCTCCCTACTTGTTATGCCCTGAAGCAGCACCGGTAGTAACTGTCAAAATTATTACTTGTATGAGCACATGCTTTCAGTATCACAGGTCAGGTCAATAATAACAACAACATTCAATAATATTACAAATCTGTATAGTACAGTACTATGCTAATCAAACAATGTATTTGACTCTACTATACTTCCATTTGTACACAGTAGAAAAGGTCTTAGTCAGGACTCACCAAGCACCTAAGTATCCTCTTAAGAAACTGGTACAGTGGTACCTCGGTTTACGAATGCCCCTCATTATGAACTTTTTGGGTTACGAGCCCGATTTCTTCGGAAAATTTGAATCGGGTTACAAACTTTTACCTCAGGATACGAGTTTGTTGATATGCGTATGGCCGACCTAGCGTGTGGTGGCACAGCGATCGCGCCTCAGTTTACCAGTGCCTCCTGCCTGAATTCTTTGCAAGGATTTACAGTTTTTTTTTATTTTTGCCTATTTGTGCCTAAAAGTTGTTATTTTATATATATATATATCTCACCATGGGTCCCAAGACAGCCAGTGGTAAGGTTCAAGGCAAGAAAACACATGCAAGAATGACCATAGAAGAAAAACATGAGATCATTCGTAAACATGAAAATGGTACATGTGTTGTTGAACTAGCTAGGCAGTACAACAAATCTTCAGGGGAGGAGGAGGCAGTAGAGGATGTCCCTTCCTCATTAAGAAAATGTGTGCAGTATGGGAAGAACTGCAAAGTTTTGCTGAAAAGAATCGCCCAGATAAAGCTTTAGCAGGCCGTTGCATTGATCTTATTAATGACAATGTGATGTCTCACTACAGACAAGTGTTACAAAGAAGGGAAAACCAATCTTCAATGGAACGATTTCTAGTGAGAAAATCAAGCAGTGAGGCAGAAGCAGGTCCTAGTGGTATGCAGGTAAAACGTGCCAGAGTGTATCTCAGAGAAGTCATCACTGCCTGATGTTATAATGGAAGGGGACTCCCTTTCCAAACAGTAACACCGCTTCTCCTCCCTCCCCTCCTCACCGTCTTCCATACGCCAACAGGAGTCATCAGTAGAGGTAAGTAATAACTCGTACATACTTTTGTACTTAAGATTTGGGTGAATTACGTATAAAATTTACTTTGAAGTTAATTTTTGGGGAAGTCTGGAACGGATTAATTCATTTCCCATTATTTCTTATGGGCAAATTCGCTTCGGTTTATGAATCATCTCCAGGAATGGATTAAATTCGTAAACCGAGGTACCCCTGGTCGAGGACCGGGCCGCGGGGACACTAAAAAAGCCCCGAAATCATCTCAAGATAACCTCAAGATAACCCCTGTACATCTTTTCTCCATCGACACAGTTTGTATTTACTAAACAGTTTATGAGCTGGGAAGCTCTACGAGGTTGTCTATAACAATAATAACCTCAGTCATGGCACAGTTTATATTTAGTAAACAGTTCACGAGCTTGGAAACACTGCCAATTTCTCTATTACAACATTAACATTGAGTCATTAATAATCTCAAGTTCCAAGTTCATAAAATACAGTATTGGAATCTATGAGGATTCTGAACCATTGTAATCCGCTGTTTGTGGGGAGGTCAGCCGCAGCAGCTGTGGTGAAGGAAATCTTCAAGCACCCTCTTCTGAACCCATGTTGCCCAGGGTTATGTGCCGCTGTGATTCCATGCGTTTTGTCATCATACTACTTAGCACTCTTTCAAAGATTTTTATGATGTGCGACGTTAAAGCTATTGGTCTATAATTTTTTGCATCAACTTTACTACCTCCTTTGTGAAGTGACGTGAACTCTGCTGTTTTAAGTATGTCAGGGATAACATCAGTATCTAGGCTCTGTCTCCAAAAGATGTTTAAGGTCTGTGATAGTGGGCCTGGCTCAGTGAGGTTACTGTCATTCCTACCGGCTTGAGTGGTGGGAAATGTGTTGCAGGTGTTCTGGGGGGCTCTTTTGAGCTTCTTATTACCTTCCTCTTTGTTTCTGTTCACTTCCATGATGTGTGTCTCATGTAGCTCAGTGACTCAAGCCCTCTGTTGTCGGTTACAGTGATTGCAGATAACATTCGTGCTCTTTTGCACTTGGATTCTGTTGTGTTTCTTGAGCCTCCTGGTGTTGTATTCCAATTGGCTTATGAAGGACATTGAGGCGCTCGGTGAGGTTCTTTTAGCAGGGGGATGGGTGGTCTTTGTTGCAGCTGCATTAGTGGTCTCCTCTTATCCTATGAGCGGCAGGGGCCGCATTTTTTGCCTCCCATCTCGCATGTTGGCAGGCCTCCTGGCCTGGTCCTTGGATTCGGTGTGGGCCCTGGCTCTCATCTCCGCTTCTCACTTTTCCCTTCTAATTCCGGAGGACACTGTTTTCCAGTTCCTGTCATCTGCGTCCACTGCTTGTTGGCCTCTTTCTGACTAGTTGTGTATTTGTGGGGGTCTTTCTCACCTCCCATGGTTGTTTGGTTGGGCCAGGGCGTCACATGCTCTTAATCGTCGTTGGTCATCCTTGGAGCCAGATGCCAGGTTAACTGCGCTTCCTGTGGCCAATTCTTCTGTATCTAGTTGGTGCCATGTTCATTCCATCCGGAAGATTGGCTCTTGGGGTTCGTGTTAGCTCTTTCACAGGTTGCCCCTTTGATGGGGTGGTGGTGGTGGTGATGAAGGGCAGGGTGGGGGGGGGGAGGTTCACTTGAATTGTTAATGCTTGGTCTCAGGATTCCTGGGCTTTTTGGGTTGTTTCTTGTGGCCAGTCCTGTCTCCCTCGGGGAGGGGGGAAGAAGTTTCTGGGGCAGGCCTCCTCCCCCTTGCTTTCATTGGGTCATCTCGGGTTGGGGGACTTTGGGGGTGGTTGAAATAAATGCATCTCTTCAGTGGGTTTCCTGCCTGTTTACAGTCCTAAAATGGGACTCTCTGGATCTCCAGTTTAGCCTTGACCTGACCAGGTTGTACTGGGTCATCCTTTGCCCCTACCATATCTAACTTGTCCTCTTGTGTAACATGCTACAGTTTTTTACACAATATATCAATTCGTTAAAATTAAACATATTAGTAAGAATTATAAAGTGTTTAAATATTTTCTGTGTAAAATTCTCAATAAGTTAGGCAAGTTGCTTGAGTTCTAAGTTGATGATTAGGCAAAACAGTTGCAATTTTTTAAAGAGGCAAATTAAGAGATGGTGCCATCTTATCAGCAATTAATAAGAGACCTTCCTTTGATAAACAGCTGAAATAGTGCATCAGAAGCACTAATCAGAATATGGGGACTTAAGAATAGGTTCATACAGCTTACAGAAGAATGAGTGCTTAAAATAACTCTCCTTTATGTCACCAAAACCTCTTATTACACGAACGCTCAGAACGACGTGGCACGCAATTGCATGAACTCTGCAACTTTCAGTACTTCACACTCACCTTCTTAATGTGAGTGTTAAGAATGAGGTACGGCAACGATGACAAGAGTGAGGAGAGTGCCAGCAGGGCATTGTGTTTGCTGCTGTCCTCATTAGCATCAAACATGTTGACCAGCGGAGTCACCACACCTTCAAAATATCTCTGCTTATAGAGCAATCTGAAAATTAAATAAAAGAAAAAATATAATTCATACCACACACACATTTGTGCTGATATTCAACACACACAATACTAACCACAATAGCATGATATATCAATGAGAAAACTTTGGAACAATATGGTTGTGGGTGTGTCTGGGGAGGCCAAAGGCATGAGTTGGGGCCCACTGTATTGCTCTAAAAAATTTCTCATTTCCAAAATAGATACAATATAATGATAGCAGAGTGTTTAAGATTGTCAAGTGTGGTAAACAATTGTACGAGTTCAAAATGTTAAAATGTTTGGCATCTGTTCTATACAAACTGAAACAATGGATGAATAAAGAAAGCGCACACAGAAGGATGAAGAATGGTTTAACATGTTTTATATTAAAGTAAACACATTTAAATACAGCAGATATTTCATCTGAAGAAAGTACTGTATTCTCAAATAGGTAATAGCAACCAAAACATGGTATATATGACATAGTATCAAGGAATATAAGAGTGTGAACTTGTTGGAACAAACAATATACCGAGGAGTAGCCCTTTGTTGCTCCCTGAAGCTACTATGCTGATACAGTGCCATACTACAAAGTGCCCTCAGTTGCAGAGGTCTCTTAGGCCTACCAGGGACCACGAGCCAGAACCTGTTCCCCTTTTAAAAGGCACAGAGAGCAGTGGCACTATGATAGTAAGTAATTATCAAAAGAAGGCACCAAGCTGGGAAGGCTATGTAGCACCATCAAATGTGCAGGACAATCAGAGGGCGCTAAATATCACCAAGGATGCCAATACGAGAACAGAAACGCATAAGGCGAACGATATCAAAAGTATCTGAGTCACCAAGAATACTATCGAGGGACAAGCGACCGCGAGGGACGGTCGGAAAACAATACACACACGCTCGTCCTGAAAGTCAGGATATTCAACAAGGACATGCACAACCGTAAGAGGGACAATGCAATTTAGACAATAAGGAGCAGGGCGGTGCTCCATCAAGTGACCATGAGTTAAGCGAGTATGGCCAATACGCAACCTCGCCAGAGCCGTTTCCCATCGCTGGTTACGGTGGAAGGAGGACGGCCACGAGGACACACAACGCTTAAGAGTACGTAGTTTATTACCAGTAACAGAAGACCAACAAGCCTGCCAACGGGTAAGGATGGAGGAATGGGTAACCGGGTAAAAGTCGGAATAAGAAATACCTGTACGAGAGATGGGACAAGAGCAGACAGCTTCCCTGGCGGCAGCATCCGCACGCTCATTTAAAGAGACACCAATATGGCTGGGAACCCAACGAAACTCATGTGACTGAAATTTACTGTGAACAAGAAACAGCCAATGCTGGATCTCGACAACCACTGGATGGACTGGATTAAAGGACCCGAGAGCCATGAGGGCACTACAAGAGTCAACAACAACTACAAAGGAATGATGACAACGAGAAAACAGGAGACGAAGAGCATAGAGAACAGCATAAAGTTACTCTGTGAAGATGCTAGTTTCTGGAGGTAAGCGACACATATAAGTGCAATCAGGAAAAACAACAGAGTAGCCTACACCATCCGCAGACTTAGACCCATCAGTGAAGACGAAAACGGAGCGGAAGTGAGAAGAAAAGTGCTCAAGGAAAGGTGTTTTAGAACCGTAGGAGGGGTAAAAGCTTTAGTGATGCGGGTTAAGTTTGTACAAAACTGCGGAAGAGGGACTCTCCACAGAGGCAAAGAAGGAACAACACGAGGAGAAATATTAGAAATACAAACTGAAAGAGAATCCTGTAGGCGAGATAACCGGACAGAAAGAGGGAGGTGGTGAAGAGGAACAGGAACCGCAGGAGGGGTAAAAGTTAAAGCACGACAGAGGCGAGAGGAAGGATGTTGCAAGGACCGCGCAAGATAGCGAAGACAGTAGCGATCACGGCGGTCGTGGAGAGATAGGAAGCCAGTGTCATCATACAAGCTGAGGACAGGAGTCGAACAAAAGGCATCAGAACTGAGGCGCAACCCAGTATGGTGCAAAGCATCAAGATGGCAAAGAGCAGAAGGAGAAGCAGACGAGTAAGCAGGGCAACCATAATCGAGCTTAGACAAGACGAGAGAGAAATGTAATGCGAGTAGTGCGCGCCTATCCAATCCCCAAGAAGTATGGGACAATACTTGAAGGAGGGGTAAAGACCCTAAAGCATTCAACAGGATCTTAGAGGTAAGAGATATGGGGCGACCAAGACAAATGAGTGTCAAAAATCAACCCCAAAAGCTTAGCAGAATCCATGTACACAATGGGGTAGCCATAAATGGCACTATGATAAAATGTCAGTGAATTTTAATCATGTACGTTACCACCAGGGAAGTACCCACAAAGTCAGTGAAACAAACAAACCACTGCTGGTTATAAGGAAATATCAATGCCTCAAAATAGCAAAAGAACTCCCCCAACAATGTAAACAAACGATCAAAAATTTGCGTAACTAGCACACCTCCCTTCCTTCCTCATTTAGGGGTCAGCTGGCTGCTCCATCCACAGTTCTTGTGGATGGTGGCTAGTGTTCAGCTGTCACTCTGGTTCGTGTTTCCCGCTTCAGCTAAGTGGTGTTTTTTTGCCTTTGTGACTGTTCCAATACACATTTGTGCTGCGTGAGCCAGGAGTATAGGGCGCTTGAAGCTGCATGTGCACAGGGTTTTCTTATGTATGCTCCCTAGTGCTGCCCTTGTTCTGCTTTGTGCGTGTGGTGGTCCTTGCACTTGGTAAGATTGTTTCAGTAGGAGCCCCATTGACTCCCTGTAGCTATCATCACTGATTAAGTGCCATACTACCTAGTGTCACCAGTTGCAGAGTTCTTTATGCCTACCGGGGACCATGAGCCAGAACCTGGCCCCCTCAGAAGAGGCTCAGGGAGTGATGGCCTATGATCACTTTACATTTAAAGGTTATCATCTTTGCCATCACCAAGGAAGGCACCTAGAAAGATAGGCAAATCAAGACAAACCACTGTCTGGATTAAAAAAAAAAAAAAAATAAAGCCCCCAAATTGTCAAAACAACTCTCCTAAATAAAAAAGAAGCAACCAAAACTTAGTGAAATTAGCTCTCTGCTAGTTAGCCCCACCTGTCCCCTTGTTCGGGGGAGGTGGGGCCCGTCCTGGAAAGGCTGGACCGACCGGCTTTAGTTCTTTACTGATGTGCAACACCACAACCTGGTGGTTGTGTGTTCCTCTGGCTTTTCTGTCCCGTTTTTTGAGTGGTATTTTCTTGCCTTTTCGTCAGTGTTTTATATGAGAGTGTGTGAGTCAAGAGTAATAGTGTGCTGTTTTATACGAGTGTGAGCCAAGAGTAATAGTGTGCCGGAGCTGCACGAGCTCAGGGTTTCCTTACCTGCGAGCTCTGCGAGTACTACCCTTGCGCAGTCATAGTTGTCTTCCCTGTGGCATTCGGGAAACATTCCCTAGGACATTCAGGAAATGCTCCCTGGAGTGTTCGGGAAAGGGCTCCCTGGGGCATTCAGAAAATGCTCCCTGTAGGTGGCCTCACTTGGGGTGGTCCTTGCCCTTGAGGTAAGCCAAGGGTCTAGTGCTTTTCTGTCTTACCTGGGGTTTGAGAGTGTTTATGGTTGGTGTGGTGCATTGTGTTTCCACAGCCTGCAGTTTACCAAGCTGCAAATGCACGCACAGATGTGTCTCTCAGACTGCTTGTTCGCCATGGTTTACTCTTGGGTGTTTTATTTTGATTTCTTTGTGTTTTTGTTATTTTGCTCAGGGATTCTGCCTTTCACTTTATTAGGCCTGCCTAGGGTGTGTGCGGTGGAACCACCTTGACTTTTCCTTAGGCTTCAGGGGGTCTGGTTGCCTGCATCGACAGGAAATACTGGTGTCGTGGACCCCCCAGTGTCTGGGCTTCCTGCAGGGCTCATTCACCTTGCAGGCCTTAGAAAACCCCCGCAAGCTCGGTTGTTATATGGATATCTGATCAGAGCCGGCTCTTGCTTTGTGTGAATTTGATGGTTGTTCATCCCCAGTGCCACTCAGTGACGTTCATACTCTTTGCCTCCACCATGCTGCTTGTTGGGTCGGCAACACCTATGACCCAGATTCATCAGGGATTTGTCCCCCCCCCCTCCCCCCTGTGTTCCTCCTCACCCCATTCTTCTGTGGAGGCTCAGAAGTATCAATTAACACATGCTTTGCATTGCCGGTTTGCAGACCTGCAATGCTTTAGGTTGTGGCTGCCCTGGATCTGCCCTGTTTGTGTTTCAAGAACTCAGAATTGGGGGTGTTGGTTGACACAACCTTGGTTCCATCTGCACCCCTCTGCCCTCCCTGGTGGGCTTCGTTCGCTCATATCCGTTACCCATGCTTCCAGCTCTGAAGCGTCTGAGGGTTTTGGACTCGGGGGTTGCCCTTTCCAATTCAAATGTCTACGTCTGCCTTCCTTAACCACCACACTGTGCAGAGCGCCTTGAGGCTCTATATCGGGGGTGCACAGAGCTCCTCAGGGCACTCATGGGTATAGCATAAGATTCAAAACTCCTGCAGCTACATGGGTTTCACATCAGCTTCCTCAGGGCTCTGGTAAACAGTGGCCATTTTTGTTTAAAATTGTTGGCAACATTCCCGGGTGTGAGAGCCTCAGTACTGACGCAGCAGCCATGGCTGGCGCACGCATGAGCTAACAGCACTGCTGTTCAGCTTGAGACCACAGCATCACCACCCCGGGCCGCGGGGACACTAAGCCCCGGAAGCACCTCAAGGTAATCACCTAAAAATGTCAAAACATATATGTAACTGGTATTATTTAGCCATGATAGTATTACAGAAGAGCCTGACTGTGATAAAGACTATGTACAATGTTCAGATATCAGTGAACACAATGCTGTTCAAGATGTTCACATCACTAGCCACAGTACACAGTCTTTATTTGGTCCATCTAAGAATCTTGTAACGAATTCTTGTTTCTTTATAAAATAAACTTGTGGAAAATTATTCAATTACAGGATTTAGTGACCAGGATTCTGATAACAACAG